GTGAGACCCAATCATCAGTGAACAATACTAATTATGCCCTACTCAGACATGCTAGCAAAGATTTTTCCAAGAGTCACTGTGGTCATCTGTCCATCAGCGCTCTGATGCAGTCTTTCCCCATATAACCATGCACTTTGTGACCACGCTGTGTCACCGTGGTCCCGTGTGGCTGAGAGCCTGAAACACCAAATCTGTAACTGATGAAGTGTTCAGGTGATTCTAGGGCTGCCAGTGTTGGATACTGTGGATCTAGAAATAGACCAGGTAAGTTCGTTCTCACTTCTCTTTCTGATTCTTGGCATGGAATATTTTTGAAGGTGCATACATTTCTTATTCTTTGCTACAGCATCCACGTGTACCACAAAGTGTGAGGAAGATGTGGTGTCAACTGAACCAGTAGAAGTTAGAGTAGGTGTGAGACAGGAGGAGTGGTGGGAGAATGTAAGGAAAGATTTGAGTATTTAATGATACAATATAAGTGAGACAGGGTCTCATGAAGTAGCTAAATTACAGCGCTGCAATCTTCCTGCCTCAACCTCCAACAGTAGGTTATTTTTCTGTTTTTAAAACAATGATTTGGAAGTTGTAGAGATATCAAAGTAATTAGAAATGTGTGGTAAAACTTACATCACACGTTCACAGTCCCAGAATGTGTCAAAGGTAGGTGGAGAGCAGTACCAAAAATTTTTATACCTAACATGTTTCCAAGTAACGCTGCTGTTGCTTATATAGAAACCATTTGTATCATTTCATTCTCAATCTTTTTTTTTCAGAATCATTAAGAGCGTGGAGGTTATGAGTCAAATAGCTCTCTCAGAATTCCTTCTCCCAGGGTGGAAGATGATCCAGAGCAGCAGCTCCTCATCTTCAATCTCTTCCTGTCCATGTTTCTGGTCACCATCTTGGGAAACCTTCTTATCATCTTGGCCATCAGCTCTGACTCCCACCTCCACACCCTCATGTACTTCTTCCTCCCCAATCTGTCCTTCACTGACATCTGTATAAGCACTAGCATGATCCCAAAGATGCTGGTGAACATGCAAGCACAGGACCATAGCATGTCATACACAGGCTGCTTCTCCCAGGTTTCCTTTATTGTGATTTTTGGTGTTTTAGAAAACTGTCTCCTTGCAGAGATGGCCTATGAATACTATGTGGCCATTTGTCACCCTTGAGACACAGAATCAAAATAATTAAAAATGGGCAAAAGATCTGAATAGGCGTTTCTCAAAAGAAGACAGGGGGACAACAAATATATAAAAAATGCTCAATATCTTTCAATGCAAATCAAAGCCACAAGGAAGATGTAGGAATAGTGATATGTTTCTGCAGACCATGACATTTGGGAGCCTGAGGCTAGAGGATTGCTTAAACTCATGTGCTCAAGGTCAACTTAGCCAACATACTTAGGCACTGTTTGAAGTCAAGAAAAAGAATGAGTCACTGGGGACTTAGCTCAGTGATAGTGTATTTGCCTAGCATATGTGGAGGCCCTATGGTTAATTCCCAGCACTAGAAAAAGTAAAAACAAAAAGACCGTAATAAAACATATCACCCCAGTGAGAACTGGTATGATGAAAGCCATAAAAGACAGCATGTCAAAAAGCTTCTGCCTTCCTATGTTTATTATGGTACTATCCACACTAGCCAACATATGCTGTCAACCTAAATGTACACACCAGAGGAATGGATAAGGAAAATGTGTTATGTATACAGAATGGAATACTATTTAGCCATAACACACATGAAATCCTGTCTGTCACTGGAGACAATGTGGGTGAACCTGGAGGATATTATGTTACGTGAAATACATCAAGTATAGAAAGACAAACAACATAATTTCACAAAAGTAGCTCAGTAAAGATGATTCTATAGAAGTGGAGAGAGTAACGGTTGCCAAAGATGGGGTATAATAGGAGGGAGTGGGCAGAAGGGACAGCCCATCTCCAGGAAGAGTGACATTGTTTGAATGGAGTAATACATTCTGGTGTTTTATGGCACTTCAACGTGAATATAATTAACAGAAGTACCTTGTGTATCTCAGTCTAGTTAGAAGAGGGAAATTTGAATATGCTCACCAAGAGAAAATGTAAGTCTCAGAAATGGATCTGCTAATTACTACAAATTGATCTCTACTCAATGTGTATAAGAATCAAATCATTATTTTTGTATCTCACAGATATAAATCATTTGAAAAACAAGTAAATAAATAAATAAAATGCTCTACCTGTCCTTGACAACTAATATATTCCTAGGATATTTTCCTTGATATATGGCAAAAGAAAGTACTTTTTGTTTATGAGATAAGACCACTCAGTCCCTTGACTTTGTCCACTCCCCAAGCAATATTTGAGTATTTTTGTGACTAGGATAATTCTATCTTGTTTTTCATGTTATTTGTCTTATGGCTGATGGAAAAATAGATCTTATTTTATAATTTCATTAGTGAATTGCTATATTTTATTTATTATTCCTTTTTAAAAAAGTGAGTGGAGTTAGGGTGGTTATGGAAAACTTCCCAATGCCATCTTGCCATACATTTCAAAAATCTACATTGACAATGATATATGTGTACCCAAGTTCATAGCAGCAGAATTTCTAATAATAGCTAAGTCTTGAAAACAATACAAAAGCCCATCAGCCAAGGAATAGGTAAAAAAAGATGTAGTCTTTTTATATAGTGGATAATTACTTAGCCATAAAAAAGGATAAACTGGAGACCTTCATAGGTAAATGGATGCAACCCAAGTCCCTACCCATAAGTGAAATAAATCACACTCTTATGTGAAAGCGTCCTATTGTCTCCCTAATGTGAGAAGCTGAAAGAGTAAATATGTTATAAATGTATATTAATTCTGCAAATTATGTCATGTTAGCCTTCCAAAGTCTTTCTTCCTTTTCAAAATTGTTTAATGATTTCAAGTCTTTTGGATTTTCATACCAATATTAGAAAAGCCTGCCAATTAAAAAAACTGTAATTTTCATTAGAATTACATTATTAAATGAGTTTTTGGAAAATTGTTACCTTTAAGTATTCCACCTTAAAATGTTTCTCAATTTCTTAGTTTCCTAGTTTTCTAGGTTTTGTAAATTTTGTGAGATTTATCACTATTTCATATTTTAGTACTCTTATAAATGACGTGTTTTGTTTTTGTTTGTCACCATGAAGTAGAAGTATGGTTGCTTTTCATTATTCTTTTTTCTTTTGTCTTTTTGAGACAGGGTTTCACTATGCAGTTCAGACTGGTTTTGAACTCACTTTATAGCCCAGGCTGACCTTGAACTCATAATGATCTTCCTGCCTCAGCCTCCCGAGCGCTGGGATTGCATGTGTGTACCACCATGCCTGGCTGTTTTTTTATTTTATTTCTTTTAGTACTGGGAATTGAACTCAGGTCTTAACGCTTGCCAGGCAGGTATTGCGCCACTGAGCTAAATCCCCAGCCCCTAGTAGCTTTTCAATAAACTTTATTTTATTAAAAATCTACATTGAAAATTATAAATTCATACTGAAATAATTAATATGGCATAAATGTATTGATAAATGAATGAAAGCATGGAAATCCTTAAATAAAAAATTTTAAAATGGGCACCAACATGAAAGCCCATCTCTACGTGTGAAATGATGGTTGGCTTTTGACCACATGTGCTGACTGTATGGACATCTTTGTATATACTGATATTTGTTGATTTTGCAATTGAATTAGCACCTGAATTAAAAGTGAAGAATCATCATTTCAACTCAGTTTCCAGTTTTGAAAAAATTCTTGGAACCATTGCAGCAATGTTGAACATGTTTATGAAATTCTGATCAAGCAGCCATGGTCCTCCACATACTTTTGGCATTCATGCCAATACATTAGAATCTTCTGTTCAAAGGATGAAAAATAAAACCAGGGCTCAGTAAACTCAATGATATGTACAAAAGACACAGCTGAAGGTCTCTTGGTTAATAGATATAGTTACACAATCTATACGCATAGAAGACATATTTTATGTCTAACAAAGAAGCCTGACTTTCTGATATTAGTGATTGCATAGAGACCTCTTTATTTCTGAGTAGTAGAGAAGTGGCTAGTGTTTTAGATGCAAAGTCCATGAAATGGAGATGAGCAGAAACAAGAGAGAGAAGCAAATGACACAACAATGGCCCTTGGGGCCAGGAAACCAGCCTTTATCAATCCCCCACTTCTACAGAGTTGGTCTTTGAGGACATGCACCTCTGGGATTACAGCCATAGAAAAGTATCTGGAGCTTTGGATATTGAGCCCCAGGAACAGAGAGAAAATAGATGCCATCCTGTGACCACCTCCTTCATCAGTCTTGCCCCAGGCAGGAAGCTGCACCTGAGCTTCATCTCCAAGATGATCCTTCTGGACCAGGAGACTGTTAATTCCATTAATCTGTCTGCCCTTCCTGAGAGCAGATTTCTACCTTCAATATCCAGGTGAGGTGCTAAACATCATTTCTCTTGAAGCCAAGCAGGCCACAGAAAGTCTTTTAGCTCAAGCTTTGGATGGATGAGTAAATACATTACTAGCATTTCATTCTGGGAAGAAATGAGGAGAGTTAAGAAGAAGCTATAAAGATGGTGGGAAATGACTTCCTCCTGTCACTATCTTCATCCAGTCTCCTGATGTTTGTACTAATACACACCCGATTCTTATTCTTCTGGTCTCATAACCTATCAAAGGACAGGGTTCATTTCTTTCAGAGCAGATATCTACCCCTTTTAAAGTAAAATGGATAATACAAAATATTTTGAAAGATTTGAATTATTGTAAAAATGTTGGTGAGGAGATTTTGAGTGTATCAGTTCAAACGCCATAACCAAGAACCAGAGACTATTGTGGCCTGACAAGAGAAATTTATTTTTCACAGTTCTTCATTTTGGAATCCAAAGATTCCAGTTGTTCCCCAGGGAGTTCTTGGCCCCAAGTGATGGTAGCAAATGCTGCCTTGCTGTCCATAATTTCATTCTTTTCACTCCATCTTTTTCCATCAGGTTCTTCAACAATATGAATGTTAGAAATCAAACAGCTGTCTCAGAATTCCTTCTCCTGGGACTGACAGATGATCCAGAGATGCAGCCCCTCATCTTCAGCCTGTTCCTGTCCATGTACCTGGTCACCATCCTGGGGAACCTGCTCATCATCCTGGCTGTGAGATCTGACACCCACCTGCACACCCCCATGTACTTCTTCCTCTCCAACCTGTCCTTCACTGACATCTGTACAAGCACCACCACGATCCCAAAGATGCTGGTGAACATCCAAACACAGAGTCACAGCATCACTTACACTGGGTGCCTCTCTCAGCTCTGCCTTTTCTTGGTTTTTAGTGGCTTGGAGAATTGTCTTCTCGCGGTAATGGCCTATGACCGCTATGTGGCCATTTGTCACCCTCTGAGGTACATGGTCATCATGAGCCCCCGTCTCTGTGTCCTGCTTGTTCTCCTCTCCTTGCTCATCAGCTCTGTGCATGCCCTGCTCCACACTCTGATGCTGTTGCAGCTGTCCTTCTGTGCAAACCCGGAAATCCCCCACTTCTTCTGTGAACTTGCCCAGGTCATCAAAATCACCTGTTCTGATGCCCTCATCAATAACCTTCTGGTATATTTAGTGGCTGGCCTGTTTGCTAGCGCTCCTCTTTCTGGGATCATTTTCTCTTATGTTCACATTGTATCCTCTGTCTTGAGAATGCCATCACCAGGAGGAAAGTATAAAGCCTTTTCCACTTGTGGGTCTCATCTGTCCATCGTCTCCTTGTTCTATGGGACTGGTTTTGGGGAGTATATCAGCTCTGCAGTTATGGAATCATCTAACAGGGCTGCAGTGGCTCCAGTGATGTATTCTGTTGTCACTCAGATGCTGAACCCCTTTATCTATAGTCTGAGGAACAGGGACATGAGCAATGCTTTGAGGAAACCCATCAGTAAGATAACCTGTGTTGCATGATGAGTTGGCATTATTTTTGGATTTGAGTCTCTACAGTACAAAGAAAATCATAGGATTCCTGGTTTTCCAGCATGCTGAGTCCTTTTCTCTCTGCACTTTTCTAAAATGAGTAGATAGCTCATGAAAGATCAGGTGCATTTAACTTGCCTTAAATCCTAAAATTATTTGGAGTCTGATAGTGAAGTTTAATACATGATTTCGTATTCTAAACACAATTTCTTTGCTCAATTACATAGAGGCAGAGCCTGAAACAGGGCTTCTAATTTTCACAATTTTTTTGGTGGAGGTGCAGTTTCAGAAGAAGGTGAGTTGAGCAGGTGGATGTGATAGGACAACTATTTAAGCAAATCTATATTTATATACAGATAATGGTTTCCACCTGGCTGTATGGCTAGGACTACATGAATTTCATTCTAGCATGAGCTCCACTTTGAGTATTTATGACCTACAAAAAGGAGACTGAGCAGTGTTCCTCATCCATACAGCCTTCATGGAAATAATAGTATCTACCATATTTAGGATTATTACTTATAAAAATTTCATAATGATCTGATATCAGTGGCTTGATATAATTGTGTGATCTTTGAAATTAATTAGTGAAGATGCCTGCAGTTTTGTTAAGAAAAGGAAACCCAACATTAGTTAATTCAAACAATAAGGATAGGTACTTTCATTAAAAGGGCTTCTGAGGTAAGGTATATACTAGAACATACAGCTGGCCTTCACTCGCTTCTCTGTGAGGTGTCCTCATCCTAGGTCATTAGATGATTGTTCTAAATGCTGGTATTGCCAGAGACGAAGAACTCGGGACCCTTCCTTGATGCATTGATGTTTAACTTTTCCTTGGATTCATCAGACTTCATCTCTGTAGTGAACTAAGAGTGCCCCTCACAATATGTCCTGACCCTGTCCCAACAATAGATGATTATCTTATATGATACATGGGTCCATCTTACTTGTGTGAGAAGAGGGGATTTAAGAGGGGGAGGTTTCCCAGATTATCTGGGTGGACTCTAAATGTGATCATGTTTCATTATACGACAGACAAAAGAGAAGACACTGAGAAAGTAAGGATGCATTTTAATTGTGGAGACAGATGTTGGATTGATCGAGCCATTATGGATTACCAGTACTGTGGAGTGTCAAGCAGCAAGGGAGAGGCTGTTCTGCCCTACATTTGGCTACTCCACTCTGCTTTATATCAGAGTCATGGACTCTGTTTCAAAAGGAGCTGTTTCAAAAACCTACAGCAATAGTCAGTCATGATGGCACACACTTATAATCCCAGCACTTGGGAGGCTGAGGCAGGAGGATTGAGGTAAGGTACGGACCAGCCTTGGCTACACAGTAAGTTCAAGCCCAGGCTCTGCTATAAAGCGAGACCCTGTCTCAAAAAAAATTAAAAACCAGTCATTAACACTTCTTCCTATGACAAGTATGACCATTACATTATCCTATACTCATCACATTTTATCTGATAAGGATGACATATATCGGCAGCTCAAAGGACACAAAGAACATATGGACTTACTTTATTCTCTCTAACATTCTCTTCCCAGGCCTGCATGCCTCATCTACAGTTTTTTTTCAGGGGTCCCTACTAACAAAGGGTGCCCTGGACCTCTCTGTGGAAACTCACCCACTGCTCCTTATCCTGTATTTAAGAAATCTCCTTTTTCCTTGCTCTGTTCTTGGTAAATTGTTTTACTGCCTGCATCTCCAGACACGGTCTCACATGGCAAGTACTCGAGTGTGTTGCCTATAAAGCTGGCATTTTCACTGGAATCTAATGCATTTTAATCACTCTTATAGATAGGCCTCGAGACTTACTGCAAAATTGTGGGCTTTTTTGACCTTGTTAAATTTCAAACTTACTAAATGGCCTGTCTCTTGTTAGTTTCAACATTTTGCATCATAATTATGCTATTCTGTCTCAGTGTTGCTGATTTTTTCAATATTCTATATTTTTATGTTATGTGTATTAAAATAAAGACATTTCTGGTGTTGATGAAACTTTTAAAATTTTTATATTGGTACACGTTTTCAGTACATGATGTGCAGGTTTGGTATATGTACATATTATGTTGATGAAATTTTTATTTTTCTCTTTGAATATTCTCCTCAATATCTTCTGAAACATGATTTTATATCTGGGATGCAATTACTGGCCATGGCAGAGAAACTTGTCATTCTTTGTTATGTCCAAAAGGTTTTCCTAAGTAGTTGAATCAATATCCTTCCTATTAGATATTGCTATTGTTTACATCATTTCCCAGATATTTTCACTTATTCTGACAATCTGGTGCTTATAAAATAGCACAATTCAAACTTCTTTCATTGTGAGGTTGAGAATCATTTCACATATTATTGCTACTTATTTTACTTTCTTGTGATGTAAGCTTTTATGACATTTCCATTGAGTTGCCTATCTTTTAAACCAGTTCATAATATTTCTTTCATGTCATTGGAATAGTGATTTTTGGATGTTGCATGAATTGCTAATTCAGTCTTTAGAAGTGAATCTCTTTTTGCATGATATTTATAGTATTTATTAGGTGCTCACAATGCTTCAGTTTTTTTAATTTAAAGTTAAAAAAAAACGAACAAAACAGCAGTGAGGACAAAATCAATCTGGTAATCAGAATGATTGATCTGAAAACAAGAATATGCAGTTAAGAACCATTGTTGAACTCCTACCATCTTCTGTGGTGAAGCTCTGCATCATTTCCAATTTTTTTTTTATTGCTTGTTACTGTCTTTGATTGTTTGATCAAGTTGGTTTTTTTTTTTTGGTGCCAGGAGTCAAACTCAGGACTTTGCGCTTTCCAGGCAGACACTTGTGCTGCTTAGCTATATCCCTGGCCCAAGCTTAGTTTCAATATGGTTTAATTTGTCAAAGTTTTTCCTCCTGGTGTAAGCTCAATAGATACAGATAATGAGACCCCTATTTGCCTCTTTAAAGGTTGCCCAGTCTTGCTTTTGCAACTGAACCTGAAACCATCTTAAATTTATTTTTTGCTTTTGATGAAATCCAGGTAGCAAGTTAATTTTTATTTCTTAACATCTTTTGTTAAATAGTTCATTTATTCACTGTAATGCTAATTCAGCAATAACACCACTGTGCACTCGTGAATGGGTATTGTTGTGGACTCTCTTTTCTGAATAATAGAACCACTGCATTTATCTCTGTACTAATTTTATGTCTCAATGATTGTAGTATACCAGTCATCTACAACTATAGTTGTTGTCACAACCAGCCCTAACATATTTTTACAGTTACCTTGTAACACAGATTAGATTTTGATGATTTTCAATTTTTAAAACTATACTGATAACCAAGGCTTACAATTTCTATTAATGACATGTAACATGTGCTTGTATGCATCTGTGTGTATATATGCTTATATATATCTATACACATTTACATATATATATACACACACACACATATCCTCTAGTTTAAATGAAAACTTGATGCTGCAATTATAAAAAAAGAGTGAAATATCAGTTAAGTATTTAGCCCATTTTGATTACAGAGAATGCAGTAGAAACATCTCCTTATAATATGCAAAAGGAGATTCAAATTTACTGAGTCTTGCACGAAATTATTGCATTTTCATGTGCATTGACAATACTACTTCCTGAACTTATAATATGTGTGTGTGTGTGTGTGTGTGAATCTCTACTATTTTGAGTTGAAAAGTGGTGATAGTCTTCTGATATTGTAAGTAAAGGTAGATGTGACTCTAAAGATGCCTAGGAGAAAGAGTATTTGAATTCCTTAGAGAAGAAAGGTTGCTCTTGTGATGGAGAGAGCAAAAAGGGGTTGATGATATCTCAGGATGAGGGTCAGGCAAACCCAGGTTGGGAAGAGTAATTGTTAATTACTCAAATTAGTATAGACCCATAACACTCACCCAGCATAGGAGTCATCTCAGAATGGACCCAAGTCCTGAGTTTATGGAACAACCAAGAAAAAAAAGATAGCTTCTCTTTTCTGATGAGTGGCTTGCCTTGCACATGGGTATCTAAAATAAATCATAGTGACAAGATTCCTGTGGAGTCTAAATGCCTCACTGTTCCACTACTATATTCTTTTAAAAGAATGAATAATGTAATGACCAGGCACATTTTAATGTGGCTTGAAATTCCACCTTGCTGTATCCCTAACTATGATGTTTCACACATGGTTTTAATTCTATAAAGACAATCTCTTTGCTTAGGTTTTACAGAACAGATCCTGAAGCAGAAATTCTAGGTATTTTTTATTTTTTAGCAATTTTCACGGTGGTACACTCTTTGGAAAAGACGAATTGGGAAATAGTTGAGCTGTGCACATTTCTAGGTTAGCTTCCACTTGGTCATGTTGTTGGAGCCATGTGCATTCCAGCATTGAGTTGCTTTTGCTGTGACTCAAGGGGACTGGGACCTTTGTAGCCTCTGAAACAATTACTGAGACATGTTGGTGATCAACTGTAACTTTTTGGGGGAATAAGCATTGACTCTTTTTTGTGTTTTTGCCTATAAAGTTAGAATAATTAGTGATATTAGTGATTTGAGATGATTGTGTGACAGTTGCAATGAAGCTGCCTTTGGTCCTGACACAAAAATGTGATGTTAATATATCTACCAATATAGAGAGGAGTAGATTCCCAAGGCAGGGAATAGACTAGAACACAACGGAGCTTCCATTATTCCTCTATGGGGTGGTCTCTTCCTAAGACCACTTTTCCTCCAGGTCACTGGGTGATAGCAAATGCAAGCATTTTACCTGGATAGGAGGCCAAGGACAGAAAAGTGAGTGTTCTTTTTTATGTCAATGATGAGTAACTTTTCTGTGGACAAACCAGACAGAATTTCTTTAGTGAAATGAATGAGAGCCGTTCCTCAAAATACTGTCCAGTACTAATTCTAGTAATTTATGATGAACTCATGATAAATTGGTGAATGTTACTTGCTCTACAAAAGAGGATTTGCTGAAGAGAAATTTTTCCTGCACTGTTCTGGTGGATCTTTAAGGCAGTCATATTTTCTTGTAAGGCAGAAGGCCAGGGGAAAAGAAGGATGTTTCTAACTGCAAAGATACAAATTGCATTGTTGCAGCCAGTATTTGATTATTTATGTCCTACCAAACTTATTTTCACAGGAATTTGGTACATATTTGATCAACCCTGTAGATATTTCTGGAAAATTTAAGACACACGTATGCTTCTTTTTGGCCATATTAAATTTCAAGTTTAATAGATGAATTTCATGTCATTTTTGTTATTTTTATCCTGTGTTTCAGAATTGATCATGATGTGGTTAGTAGTTTCACATTTATTCTCTGACTCCATATTTATGTGTTGTGACATTAAAAACAAGAAGCACTTCTGATAATGATGCAGTTCAGCTTTCTATTTTTTTCCTATTGTGTATAAATCAGGTTTAAAATTCTTCTCTGTGTCTTCTGAAGGAAAGAAAGGATAATTTTATATTCAGGGCAGAATTACTGGCTATAGCAGATTAACTTGTTCATTTTTGTTAGTTCTCAGGAGTTTTCTGAAGGGATTGAACTGTTTTCCATTATCATTAGTATACCTGTTACTCCGTATCATTCCCAAAACTCACCCTGGCAATGTCATGTGTGTACAGTATCACTTAACCAATTTACATTTGTCTTATGATGAGGTTTAGAGCCAGTTTGCATATTATAGACCCTTTTTACTTCTTAAATAATGTGGTTATGATATTTCCATTGTACTTATTTTTGACTAATTCCTACTATTTCTAATGTAATTGTAATAGCAGCCCTTTATACACACACTATATATATATATACTGGGAGAGAGATGGAGGGGAGAGGGAGAGAGAGACAGAGATAGAGAGACAGAGAGACAGAGAAAGAGAGAGAAAACAAACGTTCTCTTTAGGTACGTATCTGTTTTTGGGTGTGCATTGTAATAGTTAGTAGATGCCTTCAAATACTGAGTTTTAAGATAATTTAATTTGTCAATATTTTTCCTCATGATAGGTACTAAATAGGCCTTGATACCAGCTTCCTTACTTTGACTCTTAAAAGTTTTATAATCTTTCTTTTCTCTGTTAAGACTGAAGCCTTTTGAAATTTATTTTTTGTTTTGAATGTGAAAAAGGAAACAAATTTATTTTATTCAGCAACTTCTATTCAGTGATCCATCCAGTTAGTGCAATGCTAATTAACCAATAAAGATGCAAAGAGTTAACTGTTCATGTTTTCTGAACTCTCTCCTCTCCTCCTTCCTCCCCTTCATTTTTCTCCCCTCTTCCTCCTCCGCCTCCCCCCTCTTTCCTGCTTCCCCCTCTTCTCCCCTCCTCCTTGTCTAATACCGAGGATGGCAGCCAGGTCCCTTTGCATGCTAGGCACGTGCTGTAGCATTGAGATACAATTTTAACTTTTTCTTTTAAAAATAAAAGGAGGAAAACATTAACAGACAGACAACATTTTACAAAATAGCAAAA